GACTCACGTTAAAAAAGCACCCTGATTTTACGGAAACGTAGTGAAAGGCGAGAGGACTCACGTTAAAAAAGCACTCCGATTTTACGGAAACGTAGTGAGAGGCGAAGGGACTCACGTTAAAAAAGCACCCTCATTTTACGGAAACGTAGTGAAAGGCGAGGGGACTCACGTTAAAAAAGCACCCTGATTTTACGGAAATATAGTGAGAGGCGAGGGGACTCACGTTAAAAAAGCACCCCAATAAGGAGTTTAAAACCGTACTGCAACCTCCACGTGGTAAACTCTGGAAACTATAAAAATTAAAAAGTATACATATTATAGGCTAATTGCAGACGTACATATGTGCTAGTAAAGTTACTTCGAACACCCGCAACGCGGAATGGCACTGCACTGTGCGCCGGAGTGACGCGACGCTTACGATTTTCGTATTTTTAACTATGTTCCACTATTTAAAAAAAATTGAAAAAAATATATGTTATAGTGGACACTTTAAGAGAAATTTTCGTAAAAATTTCAAAGGGGTACCTCGAAAATATCACCCTAAAAAAAAATATTTAAAAATTTAAATATTTTTTTTTGGTCTTTTTTTGGCAAACATTTTGGACATTTTTTTTGTTAATTAGTTTTATTAGTCTACATAACATATATTTTTTTCATCAAGATCGGTCAAGTGGTTTTCGAGAAAAATACATTTCTTTATTTTACTTTCTCTCTGCATAACTTCTAAAAAAGTGGATTTTTTAAAATAATATTTGGTGGAAAGTTTTATCATATTGGTACTAACTTGTGACATTAATGTCAGCTCTGTATGATCAAGGGCCGATTTCACATGCTTACTCCGCTAGGCCCTTTGGTTTTAATTTGATTCTTATTAAAACGTATTTTTGTTTAAATAATGTTTAAATAATATTTGCAGTAAAATTTGTTTCTTTATTTGTCGAACTTAACATGTAAAATATTTGATTTAAATTAAAAAAAAAATAATATAGTCATATAAGATTATATATGATCAGATCAGAATATTGCATCTCAAAGTATCCGATAGATGGCATTCGATGTGATCTGTTTCTCGTAATTAAAATTTGACAAAGAGTGTTATAAGATAACGGTATCAAAAAGACACGACACTGTCTCGGAACGACACAATTTTTGTATCAGTTATATCGTGAAGTCCACTCTTATAATAAAGTAGCACGCTTAAAAAATAAAATTTTATATAATCTTGTTTAAATTTATAAATTGGTATAAATTTAAATTTAAAACAAAATTATATAAAATTCTAATAAGATCAAATAACATTTATATATGACAAATTTGACTTATATGACAAATTTGACTTATATGATTATATTTGACTTATATGATTATATTTGACTTATATTTGACTTATATATGATTATATTTGACTTATATGATTATATTTAACAAATTAATTTTGAATTTATTACCATATTTAATCCACATTTGGCAAATTAAAACCATATTAACTTTGCATTTTCTTAGGTCTGTGCGGCTGATTTTGCATACTTTAACAAAGCAAGGTCCAGTTTAATCCATATATAGATTAAATAAGATGGGGTACTTTAATTTGATTTAAATATGACATATTTAAATTATAATTGATTTGCATATTCGATTCTAATAAGATTCTTAATAAATTCATATAAGCTTTTAATACGGTTTTAATACAATCGTTTTTCGCGGGATCTTGTTAAGATCATTAATAACTTGAGAATTATCATTTTTAACATGTTTAAATGAGTCACTCAGTAATTTAAATAACCTAGTTATACCTTTATCTACAGTAAAATCTGATGGTGTTTTACCATTATCAGAAACTGCATTATACACTGCACCATTAGATAATAGAAGCTTTACAACTTTTAAGTGAGAGAACTTAGCAGCATAATGTAGAGGGGTAAATCCCTTATTACCAACTGCATTAGGATCAGCTTTATTTTGTAACAGAATATTGACAATCCTATCAAAGCTTTTCCACGCAGCATAATGTAATGATGTTCCCTTAGCATTTTTAGCGTTAACGACAGCCCCTGCTTTAATGTAATTCTCAATTTCTAAAGAATCATTACGTTTTACAGCCTCAAACAATTTCTCAGTAAATGTTAATAGCTTAATAATGTGTTCGTCATTAGACATTTCTAACGGTCTTCTAGAAGAATTGTCAAAAGCGTTGTATACTGCTCCATTTTTTAATAAAATTTGAATAATGTCTTTACAACCACAATAAGCAGCAACATGCATAGCAGTTATACCATTAACATCTTTAGCATTAACGTCAGCACCTTGTGCTATCAAAAACTTTGCAAATTCTAAATGACCTTTTATTGCAGCATAGTGTAGTAATGTCTGATTAAATGCACCACGGTCATTAATACTTAACCCCTTACTAAGGAAAAACTTTACAGTATCTTTATGACCTTCTCTAGCTGCAATATGTATAGGTTTTGTACCAGAAGTATTTTTAGCATTAATATCAGATCCCTTATCTACAAGATATTTTACCACCTCTAACCTGCCTTCTTGTGAAGCAATGTGCAATATCGTAAAACCATCTTTATCTCTAGCATTTATGTCCAATTTCCTGTATTGCAATAACATTCTGACTACTTGCAAATGACCATATGCCGCCGCTACTTCCACAGGCGTTTTATTGTCAAATGCCTTAATATTAATATTTGCTTTATTATCTAGTAAAACTTTTACAACCTTACAATGACCACTCAGTGCTGCTATATGTAATGGAGTAATACCTGTGTTTGATTTAAAATTAACGTTAGCTCCACCTGCAATTAAAATCTCAACAATTTCCTCAAAGCCTTCACATGCTGCAGAATGTAATGGTGTTAGATTTTCAACATCAGTTGTGGCATTAACATCAGCTCCTCTTGCCATCAGAACCTTTACTACATCCTTATGACCATTACTAGCAGCACAATGCAATAGTTTCGCAATTTCAGGATCTTTCATATTAACATAAACTTTGTTTTCTAGCAAAATTTCTACAATATCTCGGTAACCAGCAAAAACTGCTAGTGACAAAGGTACAATGCCCTCTGCATCAACATTAACTCCATTTGATATAAGAACTTCAACGATTTCTCTGTGATTATATCTTATAGCAAAACGCAATGGTGTCACATCGTTACCTCTGACATTGACATTGGCTCCGTTTGCTGCCAGAATCTCAACGATTTCTTTATGACCTGCTTCCACGGCTGCATGTAATGGTGTACAACCTGCAAAATCTTTTACATCAACTTGGGCTTTATTTTTTATTAAAAGGTTAACAATATCTTTGTGGCCTTCTACAACAGCGACGCGTAACGGTGTAGAACAATCATTAGCTTTAATATTGACTTTTGCTCCATTTCTTATTAGTGAAATAACAGCATCTTCACAGCCGTTCATAGCAGCTAGAAACAATGGTGTAATACCGTCAAAAGTTTTAGCATTAACCTCAGTTTTATTTTTTATTAGGAGATCAACAATGCCTTTGTGGCCTTTCAGAGCAGCTAGATGCAATGGTGTACGACCGTCATCAGTTGTTGCATTAAGCTTAGCTTTATTTTTTATTAAAAGATCAACAACGTTTTCGTGTCCTTTCAGAGCAGCTATATGTAGTGGTGTCAAATTATTATTGTCTTTGGTGTTAATTTCTGCTCCATTTTTTATTAGAAGCTCAGCAACTTCCTTACGACCACCTTCTGCTGAGCAGTACAGTGGTGTAGCGTTATTTTGAGCTTTAGCATGAATGTTAACACCATGATTAAGTAGAGCAGCTACTATTCCTAGATGACCATTCTCGGCAGCAAGATGCAATGGAGTAAAACTTGTAACAGTGGCAATACTAGCGTCGGCTTTATTTTTCAGTAAAGCTTTAACAATTCCCTCATGCCCATCTTTCGCTGCACAAAGCAAAGGTGTATTATTGTAGAATTTGTTGACAGCATTAACATTAGCTCCATGCTTCAATAGAATACTCGCTATCGACTCTTGACCAGTTTCTACTGCATAGTGTAATGGCGTACAACCACTTAAGACTCTAGCGTTAATATCAGCTCTTTTTAAAATTAAAGCATTTACCACTTCCAGATGGCCGTTTAATGCTGCTACATGTAAGGATGTCCAATCTTCATCATTTTTAGCGTTAACATCTGCTTTATTCTGAAGCAAGAAATTAACTAACTCTAGACGACCACTTTCTGCAGCTATGTGCAATGGGGTAAGGCCACCCGTAGTTTCATTAACATCAACATTTATATCATTTTTCAATAAAATCTTGACTACATCGATATGATTATTATATATTGCATAGTGTAAAGGTAAAAAACGACTATTATCTCGGGCAACAGTATTTGCTTCATTTTTTAATAAAACTTCAACAGTATCCTTGTGACCATTTTGAGCAGCAACATGTAGTGGAGTTCTACCACTCTTATCTAGCTCATCAACATATAAACCTGTCTCTTGTATAAAAAATTCTACAATATTTCTCTTTCCATGCGCAGCAGCAATATGCAATGGGCTTTGATCTTTAATATTTTTCACATTAACACTCAAATTTTGATCAAGAATAAATTGTATAACTTCTAGACTGGGTTTCTTAGCAGCAAGATGTAACGTGGTCCATAAATTAACATTTCTAGCATTAATATCTGCTCCTTTCTTTAGACAATCCTTTAAACTTTCTAGATTTTCTTCGTCCAAAGCAGCAAACATTCTTTCCTGATTAGTAATGATATATAAGTCTTGATCGTATTTCTCCCTCAACTTGAAAGAATTATCGCTTACTGACTTGCCAATTTTCTTCTTGCTTTTTATTATATTTTCTTCAGTGAGTTTCTTAGCGTTCAAAACAATTACAATAGAAGGATCAGATAACATAACGTCAACTAAGGGATTATCATGCGCTAAATGATTACGTAAACATTTTCCAGTTAACAAAGGAGCGTTATCGTCTAAAGAAAGTAAATTATTTTCCAAGTAATGCTCTGAGCTACCTAAAATTGACATTATATCTAGAACAAGCATTTCTACTAGTGTTTGCAATTTTTTGTCATTCTTATAGAAAGGTAATTTTTCAATTAATTGGCCACTTAACGCGTTATTGCTTAAAATATTTTTCAGTTCAGACAGCTTCACGGTAAACTGGTTATTACATTCTTCTTCTGTTATAGCGTAAGTCTTCCTTTGTTTATATGTAGAAATAAACGAATCTCTTTCATCCAACTTTTCTTTTAATTTCTTAATCCATTTGATATCACTTGTTACCAATTCAGAAATATAAAAAATTTCGCAAATTAATCTGTTTATTATATCAATGTTTTCATGTTGTATTCTTGACTTAACGCTACGAGAAATTTTCATTGACAACTCAACAATTTCTTTAAGAATATGAGGCTTTATTTTTAGAGTCATATTCTCCAATGTTCGATTAGCTAAATATTTTATTCCTCTAACAACATTACGGTCAAACGCAAGTTTTTCAGTCAAGCTGATTAAGCCCTTCATTAATGAATATCCAGTGACATAATCAGTTCTGGTATTTTCTGATTGAACTTCTGCAGATTTGATTATGTTATTAATTTTATTAAACAGCTCCTTTTCATAATTCGTTTTGTCAGTTATATTATCACTTAATTCTTTAATAAGTTTTTCAAGCTTCTCGTGTTCCATCATTTTAAAATTTTCCTGTATCATTTCATCCAATTTAACATTACTAAATATTTCAGCAATTTCTTTTATCTCACCTAAGCTTTCGCTATCAGCCATTCGTTTTAGAAGCATTCTGAGCGTTTTAATCTTTTTACCGTAAAGAATATCAGTAATTACAATATCGATTCTTTTAGTATCATTTTGAACACCGATAAAAAAACTAACATCTGTGTTTTCCTCAATTTCTGTTCTCTTAGAGAGTGAATAAGCATGTGATAGTGAATTACGTAAAGCTATAATTATTTCTCTTGTGTTTTTTGGTAACGATAATAGCAAAAGTTCACTTGTATTATTAGATAACTTGGGTGATTCTAATGTGTTTTTTAAATGCTCACCGATAACCTGTAAAACCCTTGTAATAATTAACTGTCCTTCCCTTTCTTTAGGATCAGCCGATAACGCCAACTTTATATAATCATTTATCTCTATATATATAAAAATGAATGTATGTATGTTTGTCCGCTATGCACTCTTAAACTATTCGACTGGTTTTGAAAGTATTGTATATGAAGTAGGGGTAGAATTTTCCGGGGAGTGTTATAGAATGTATAATTTTTTGTTACCGATCTTTTTGGGAACCGGTATCAGAAATTTTTCAAATTTTTCGGGAATTAATTGACCGAATCGCAAAAAATTATATATAAAGTAGGGGTAGAATTTCCCGGGGAGTGTTATAAACTGTATAGTTTTTCGTTACCGATCTTTTTGGGAATCGGTATCTTTTTGGAAATTGGTTACGAAATTTTCCAGAGCGGGAGAGAGAGAGAGAGAGAGAGAGAGAGAGAGAGAGAGAGAGAGAGAGAGAGAGAGAGACTATTTGCGTGTTTTACTACACATGTTCTCCGGGGCGAAGCCCGGCGGGGCATGCTAGTTTTCATTAAAGAATAGATATCCCTAATTTGTTGATAATCGTCATACAACTCTACAAATTGAGGACAGCTGCTAATAATATCTGCAACAACTTTCTCGCGTTTTAACTTTGGAAAATTAGTGAATTTACCAATATTTACATTTCTTATACTATCTTTTTCATTTTCAAGTTTCTTTGCAAAATTTTCTAAGTAATTTAGTATTTTGCTTTTATTCACCGTAGCATTATAAAATAGATTAATTTCTTGGCGTTTTGTGTGAGAAAAAATAAAACTGACTAAGCAAAACTCCATTTCTTCCCAAGGTAATCTATCATAAGTTGATCTTAACTGCCGCTTTAATATATGAATATTTTGTGCGATAGATCTTGCTATAAATAAAATCCTTTTATCAATTTTTTCCATGTGTGAGTAATCTGTCTTTAGCAAGTTAATGTTTTGAAGTGTTAATTCAATCCGTTCTTTGATGTTATTAAAGTTCTTCACGATCTGATCTTTTCGAGAAGTATTAGAGAAGAAACGGAGGTTTATTAACTTATTTTCAACAAAAATTTCCATTTCATCTGATAACGGTACGTCTTTTAATTTTAATTCTTCATAAGCCCTTGAAAGTATTGTATCCAATTCTCCTGAATAAACAGCAAAATAATAGGGTCGTTGCATAAAATTTTTTTATTAAGCGGTTTGATAGATCATGGCATACTTTCTTTGTAAACTTTTTGAATTTTTGCAATATCTTCAAAATTGAAGAAAATATAGTACACGAAAATGTGCGTGACGTCATAAGCTTGTAGCGAAATCTTTTGAAGTTGCCGTCATCAAAGAAACTTTAGAAAGCTATAACTTTCTCAAATTTAGGTTTTTTTTTTAAATTCAAAAAGTATTAAAAATCGGCTTAGATTCTCTACATTAATTATGGATACCGCTTAATAAAAAAATTTTATGCAACGACCCTATTACCTGGTCATTTATTAATAAGTATATTAAGAAGCTCAACATTGCATGAACGTATAGCATAATAAAATGCATTATGGCGAGTTTCATCTTCATCATCTGGCAGTATACAATAGCAACAGAAAGATTATTTAGAATTCTACTATCACTATCAAATAGATACTCTAAAGTTTTTACTTTATTATGTTTACAAGCTAAGATAACTAAATTAGTGCTTCTAACAGAGCTACCGGCATTATCATAATAATCTCTCAAAGTTATTTGATCTTCTGCATTAGTTATGTTGTCAATTAAATAGCTTAATTTTTTTAAGCTATCAATATTATCCTCGGATACTGCCTTTTCAAGTTGAGTTAGAACTTGGGGATACAGTTCTCTTGCTTGTTTCTTCATTTTTTATATTTTGTTATTAATTAGTAAAAATCAGTTCGTTTTTGTGTATGACCTCTGTACGAACTTCTCTGACACTAAGACACAGTTATTCCAGCAGTAAGATGGCAATATTTACTTAATATGGCACAAACAAAGAAATATCTTCTTGACTTATGTCTAAATAAACTAAAAAGGCTATGCTAATATGTTTTTAAATAATATTGGAAGTGACATAGAGAAAGGTCAAAGGTCATAGGTAAATGAAAATCACGAAAACAAGCCAGTTCTGTTGGACTAAAATATGCTGAGATGTAAATTTACCTTGTATTTTTCGAAACGTAAATTTTAAATTAGTTAAGTCTGAGTTTTTGAACTAAAGTTATGACCGGAGGAGTGAGATGTTATAAAAAACAAACAAACTTGATTCACTCCTTATGGTTGCCACTTGATTTCATTGTCAAGAAGGATTCCTCTGATTGATAACCTTTTCTTCCTTTGTTACAGACACCGACGTCTCAGACTCGGCTGCTCGCTCCACCAGAATTGGCTTAATCCCGTATGAGTATCGATTGTTCTCAGTAACAGGTAACAGGTAAGGTATTCTTCCGGTAGTTATTCTGCATAACAAAGAATTGTTATTAATTCAATGTCAGATATCAACGACACCCGGAATAGCAGTGCGGTGCAAAAGGGGGAAAGATTTAAACGACTTGTACCGTATTCACTTACAATAGAATGTATTATGAGTGATTATGAGTCACCTCTCTCACTCGCTCCTCATCACACTCACACTCAAACGTTTCGTATAACGATTCGCGGAATACTCGGAAAGTTATTCGCAATGTTGCGTATCAACACGCAATTGTAACGAGTACCTGTATGTGATTCAACGTAAGTCGACTGGTAACAAATAGTCACTCAGGGCGCCTTCGGTGTTACACCGGCCGGTCAAGCGCTGTCGCGCGACACTGCCTCTATCAGCGATATTTACGTCCGTTCGTTGTGATTGTCGGGCAATAATCTTTATTCTTTAATTGCTTATTCACAATTACGTTTACTGACTCACTACGCACGTACGTTCTGCCGGCAAATGACCGAACCGAGATCGCAAGATCTCGCGAGCACGCAACGACGCAACGCTCATCAAAAGGAAAGACCACGTGAAACCCGGCTCGAAGCTCGAAGTCTATTGTTATTGGTCTATTGGCTCCTGCGCACAGGACGCTGAAAGGCTGAAACGCTTGTCGCGCGGGAAGAAGGGACGCGGCAGCCAATAAACTTCTTCTTCTAATGAAAATCTGCACGTTGACCGCGTCCCTTCTTGCTGCGCGGCAAACGTTTCCGCGTCATGTGCGCAGAAGCCATATGCGCTCGTCACTTCGGTGTCTTCGGCAAACTTCGAGCGGTGTATTCGGTTGATTTCAAATCTCGAATCTCGGGTTGACGAGTTTAAAATGCGCGACGTTATTTATTTATTGTTAATTTTTTAATATTAATTTTTTCCTACCAGATTTTGATATATTTACGAGCATGCTAATATAAAAATGAAATTTATAAACATAAAAATATTAAAAACTATAAATGTAATGAAATAATTTACGAACATAAAATTTAAAATTTAAAAATGTAATGTGTAAAAATCCTTGCTTGACCAATACGCTTTAAAAAAAATCTGTCTACATTAAAAAATTAGTAATTTTTAAAAGCATATTTAAATTTGCATAATAATAATTGTTGGGGATTCCCCCAATTTAT